CCTCCTTGAGCTTGGTTGCGTCATCTGCATGGTTCAACGGCACCTACAAGCTGGTTTGGAAGTAAACTGTGAGTCACGGGGACTCATCAATCTCACACCCTCGCGATCAAGACTATTTAAGCTTATAGGTAGGTAAAAGGGTATGAGGTGGAGCTGCAGCAAGCACTAGCATGTATGATGGCTAACTTACGCAAATGAGAGCGAGAAGAGAAGGCAAGGCACGTTCGAGAAACTATGATCAAGAAGTGATCCTAGAACAACCTACGTCAAGCATAACTCCAACACCGTGTTCACTTCCCGGACTCCACCGAGAAGAGACCATCACGCCTACACACGTGGTTGATGTATTTTAATTAAGATCAACTTCAAGTTTTCTACAACCGGACATTAACAAATTCTCATCTGCCCATAACCGCGGGCACGGCTTTCCAAAGTTCAAAACCCTGCAGGGGTGTCCCAACTTAGCCCATCACAAGCTCTCACAGTCAATGAAGGATATTTCTTCTCCCAGGAAGACCCGATCAGGCTCGGAATCCCGGTTACAAGACATTTCGACAATGGTAAAACAAGACCAGCAAAGCCACCCAGATGTGCCGACAAATCCCGATAGGATCTGCACATATCTCGTTCTCAGGGCACACCGGATGAGCAAGACGTCGGGTAGGCCAACCCAGAGTTGCCCCTGGTAGCCCCGGACATCGCTCAGTTGGACCAACACTTAGAGAAGCACTGGCCCGGGGGGGGGGGTAAAATAAAGATGACCCTTGAGCCGGCCGACCCAAGGGAAAGAAAAGGCTAGGTGGCAAATGGTAAAACCAACGTTGGGTCTTGCTGGAGGAGTTTTATTCAAGGCGAACTGTCAAGGGGTTCCCATTATAACCCAGCCGTGTAAGGAACGCAAAATTAAGAAACATAACACCGGTATGACGGAAACTAGGGCGGCAAGAGTGGAACAAAACACCAGGGATAAGGCCGAGCCTTCCACCCTTTACCAAGTACATAGGTGCATTAATTAAATAAAAGATATTGTGATATCCCAACAAAAATCCATGTTCCAAACATGGAACAAGCTCCAATCTTCACCTGCAACTAGCAACGCTATAAGAAGGGCTGAGCAAAGCGGTAACATAGCCAAACAACGGTTTGCTAGGACAAGGTGGGTTAGAGGCTTGGCTTAACAATATGGGAGGCATGATAAAGCAAGTGGTAGGTATCACAGCATAGGCATAGCAAAAGAGCGAGCAATTAGCAAGCAAAGATAGAAGTGATATCGAGGGTATGGTCATCTTGCCTGAAATCCCGCAACGAAGAAGAACGAGTCCATGAAGGAGACAAACAGACGTAGTCGAACAGGTCCTCACAAACGCGACGTTATCGAAACTAACTCGAAGACGCAACACCGGAAAGAAGCACACAACATAGTAAACAACCACCACATAAACATGGCATGATGCACAACCAAGTATGATGCATGTCCGGTTTAAATATGCATGGAGCGACAAAGTGCACAAACAACTCTACAAGTTAAGTGGAGCTCAATATGCAACGAGTTACATATTGACGGAACACCACATCAATTATTTAGTTCTCTCCCGTTTAAATACCCAACAATATTAAATGTTGTTAAACATGGCAAGAGAAGAAGCAAAAGTAAAACCTCTATCTAAACAAGTTTAAATGAGGCCGGAACAAACAACAATTTCGGTAAATCCCCATATGCATTTAGCAATTTAAAGCAAACAACAATTTTAAACATTTTAATTGTTGTTATCATGATGCGGGTGACATGTGCAAGTTTATGCAATTTTTATTAAAAGTTGATAAGAGCATTATGAAGCATTTGTCACCGTGGTGGAAAGAAAGGGTGCAACGGCGACGAATCTAAAAATGATGCCACGACACCATATCGGTTCCGGTAGCTCACGGAGATACCGATGCAAAGGAAGCAAGGGTGCGGATGTTCGGAACATGCTAGAGATGGTGGGGTGATCCTGGATTCCGGGTGTCCCACGAGTTGGCGACAAGGAAACGAGTGACAATTTGGACACGGTGCAAACACGAGGATCTCAAACATCGCAAGCATTCGTTCACGGGCGTCGTCTCGGGGTTATACCTTCGAAGCGTGCAAATGAGATGGTTCGGGTTCGATGGGACGTAGTGGTACTTTCAGTCCTCAGTGACGGAAGAGGTACAGACGTTCTCAAGACACTTGTCGGTCCGGACTTGGTGTAGTTGTACATGGCAAACGTAGTGGTACTCAGAGTCTTGTCAAACCCAAGCGACGGTAGTCGTACATGACGCGTTGTGGAAGTAGTTGTACTCGCGACTTTGGCGGCGGTAGTCGTTCGGGGTCTTGGCGGTTCGTCGTGTAGCCGTACATGTTCGACGTGGTACACGGTTCGAAGTCGTGCATGTCCCGTAAATGTTCAGGGTCACGTTGAGGAACTTGTCGAATCCGGGGTCTCAGTTGTCGGTAGTGGTACACGTTTCGAAGGTGAACTTGACGAACTCGAATCCCTTCGAGGTTGTCGTGGTACTTGGGGTCTTCGGACCCGCCGGTCTCGTTTTTGCGACAATAGTTGAACTTGAAGTTATTGGTTCATGGGTATTTGGCGACGGTAGTCGTTCCAGGCATCGGGTGTCGAGGTAATTGGCGTTCTTAGCGATTCCGAAAATGAAGGTAGAGGTACTTGACGCGTCACCGTGATGTCGTACACTTGTCGGAAAGGATGGCACATCCAAAACGAAGCAACACCAAAAAAAGGCCTCGGGTCTCGTGGTCACGACGAGAGGCGCCCTGGATGGAGGTGTGAGCAGAGGATGAACGGAACACGGCGGCGCAACAGCAGCTAGCGAGGCGTGGTGGAGGTCTCGCGCGGTCTGACAGGGGAAAACAGCGGCAGTTTGGCGAGGACGCAGACACCTAGCGCGGCTCGGGACTCCGGCGAAGGGAAAAGGGAGGCAGCGACCTGCTCCTCGCGGCGCTCCGGTGAGCCCGGGGCTCCGGCAAAGAAAGAGATGGTGCGCTGGACGAGGGGTCGCCGGACCTAGCGACTCCCGACGACGGCGATCTCCGGGGCTGATGTTGGGGACTAGGGCAGGAGGCCGAACGGAGGAAGGCGGCGCTGTCCCGCGGCTGGAGGGCGGCATGGCGCAGGACCTGTGGGCGCTGGAGGCGACGCCGGTCCTCGGGCGATGACGAGGAGGAGGCCGGGGTTGCAGAAGGCGGCGGCGCGGCCTGGAGCAAGGAAGCAGAGGCCGGTGGCGCGAGGGAAGGAGGGAGGCGCACTAGCGAAGAAGATCGAGAGGGAGGAGGGACACGGATCGGGAGGAGCGGGCGTGCGCTCCTCTCTGTCGCTCCTGGCGGCGCGAGGGGAGAGGACGAGGGGATCGGGAGATGGGGGCTAGGTTAGATCGGGGAGGGACTGGGCCTTGGAGGCCGGCCTGGGTGCGGGTGTTCTAGGTGGGCCGGTGTGGAAATTGGCCTAGGGAGGCCCAGTTGGGCTCTCTGCTCTCTCTCTCTCTCTCTCTCTCTCTCTCTCTCTATTTCCCATTCTTTTCCATTTAAGACAAAACAGAAAAAGAGGAAGAAAAGAAAGAGAAGGTAGGGGAGGACTCTGGGCGTGGGGATAATTTTCATGAACTCGTAAAAAATGCACGGTCCGAGAAAATTAGAAAAGGCCAGTTCGAACGATAAGAATTCAAACTCATTTGAATTTAATTCAAATGGGTTTGAACTAGGACGAGGTTTTTGGAGTATCCAAAAATGTTGAGAATTTTGGTAGAGCTCCGGAAAAAGGTAAAAGAATTATCGACAAAGTTTGAGAGTCGAAAAAACGGAAGAAGGAAAGGTCAAGGAAATTAATATGCAAGTGTGTTAAGGTGAATTCCAAAAGAATGGATTTTTTTATCATAGCTCCCTAATATCGGGAGGATATGTTATAAAGAGAATCACCATGTGAATTCCCTCAATTTAAATAGATCAAAAGATCTATGCAATTTATTTAGAAGAGTTTTGAGACGGTTGCAATATTAATGGCATGATGACATGATGCAATGATAAGAAATGCAAGACATGCAAGCAAATAACATGGCAACCACAGCGAATAACTGGAAGACACCTGGCACATCGGTCTCGGGGCGTTACATAAGGATCCGAATAATGAGAAAAGGTAAGCTCAAAAAGGACTTTTTGACCTTCTCGAGGAAGACATGAGCTCTCCAATTGCTTCATCTGGAATGGTCGAGCAGTTTGGAGTTTCACCATGACGTCTCCCCACCGCCACTCGTCCAGTACCATAGTGCGTATGGCCTGATTAGCCAACTGCCCGACTGGATCTCATCACTCACATCACACACCTCACAAAGTTTGAAGTGGGATGGACAGAACTTGTTGGCGACCAGTTATTTGGTGTCTTGTGTAAGTTGCCCAACCTACAGAGGGAGATGGTCCAACTGATGCAAAATATATAGCTACAAAGGCTCAGAACTGGTTGCACGCCCTGAACTTCCCGTCGTGTCTTGTGTTGAGGATCCTGGAGGTGATGGCCACACTTCCCGGCGTGCTCACATTCGAGACGGGATCAATGATTGTCGAGCTCGATGTTCATCAGCGACGTGCAATTGGAGAGCTTCTGTGCGATGGAGCTGGTGAGCCGGTTCGTGCTCATCTACAGCTGCTTGAGGTTCAACAATCGACAGCCATCCCGAGGTCGCCGAAATGTTGCCGGCGACAGGGTGAGCTCCTGCGGCCACAGTGATGCCGAACATGGTGAGGTCGGAATGTGTTAAAAACACAGATACCTGAATTGCTAAAAAAAAGCCAAGTTGGAGATACAATGATAAATTTATATCGAGGAGGTGTTCATAGTTCATACAATTATTATTACCCCGCAAATTTCAAACATACAAATAATTACTGCAAAAAAAACAAATAAAGAGGTGCTGGCGCTTCGAATTAAACTGCATGCATATGATGCCACCAGGAAATAGACTATATTTTAGAGGATAGAGTGTATGAGTGTGTCAAGACGTTTGGACTTGTGCTTGACCATCCGGAGTCTGGATCCTTCTCTCACCACCTCCACGCCGGTGAGCAGGACCACCGTGTCGACACACTCGGTGCCACTGCCCCATCCGTCCATTTCCATGATGTTGAAGCTCCTGTGGATACAGAACTTGCCATCCCCGAGATACACCATGCTGCGGTTCGTCTCGTGCCATCCCGATGGTGGGTCGATTTCGATCCACGCATGGCGCAGCGCCGGGGCCGGCCCGTCCATCCTCATAGCGCCGGAGATGTCCACGACAGTGAAGTGTGGGTGTATGTGGAAGCCTATATTCTCGAAGCCGAACAGGAGGTTGTTACCGAGCTCGGGGACGTGCAGGGCGCGGGACCAGAATGGCAACTTCCAGTCGCCTGCCTTGGTCCACTCGCCGGTTCTCGTGTCGAAGCAGTAGGTGCCGGCGGCGGGGTTGGGCTCTGGCCGTTCCCGTGTTGAAGCAGTTGGTTCGAACGAGACATAGATGGTGGTGTTGCTGCTAGAGGCATCCTCCTCACTGTCATGGCCGTGGACCAGCGCATAGGACTCAACGGAGACAGGGTCGCGGCCTCTACGATGGTAGTTGTTGGCCTCGTCGAGGACAATGGGCGGCGAAGGGAGCTCGCGCCAATGCCACACGCAACTGTTCCTATGAACGCGGTCGCGGTACCACTCATCCATGAACTTGCTTGGCGACGGCGGGTTGGGATCGCCGTAGACGAAGACCTCAAAGCTGTGGCCCTTGCGGTCCATGACGTAGAGCGCGTCGGGGCGGTCAGGGTCATGGGCCACATCGGGGCGGGAGGGATCGTCCTCGGCGGCGGCAGTGGTGTGGGTTACGCAGAGGGAGACGGGGTTCCACCATGGATCTGGCTTCTTGTTGAGACGGGGCATCATCTCGACGGTGGCGGCCTCGATGTCGTAGAGCGAGGCCATGCCATTGCCGTCGACGCAAAGGAATTTTGCCTCGCCCTCGCCGGTCCCGGTGCCGCCGTAGAGAGGCAAGAAGTCGAAGTTGGTGACGTAGCCGCCTATTTGACGGGAGGTGTTGAACCTGAGTTTGGGCGTGGGCAGCCGCAGGACGCCGTCGTAGTTGTCCTCCGCCGTGCTCTCGTCCTCCTCCTTCTCTCCGCTCGTTGGATCTGGTGCTGCTGCGCTTGGGCCGTGGTGGGGTAGAAGAGGTGCTTCCTGGGGTTGATGATGCGGCTCAGCGACCCACCTCTGCATTTGCTTGTCAGCACGTTCAAGAACCGCCGTGCCTTCATGGCTTTTCCGGCGATCGATCGACTACCCAGGCGACGGCTAGGTCATGCTTTTCTCGATGTCACCAACGAACCGACCCACGAATATACAATTTTGTTTTTTTGAGAAACACCGACGAATGAATATACATGGCTTTGTGGACTTGCCCATAACCAAGTGGCAGGCTTATAATGAGCACGGGCCGGCCTCCTTTCTTTTCTTTTCACAAAGGAAAAATCTACATGGACTCAAAAAAAAAAGGAAAAATATACAATACGTTTTGGCATATATTATTGTGCTCATGCTTTCTTCTCCTTCGTTTTGCTTCTCAGTTGCATGATAATGTACTTTCCAGACTCTCTACAGTGGCGCTGGACCACATCCGCTACCTACTCGGCGAACTCATACTATCAGGCGCTCTTCCTAGGTGCCTGCCAAGACCCACATTGGCAGCTCACTTGGAAGCCATGGGCCCCTCTCCACATAAAATTCTTCATCTGGATGGCGTTGCAAGACAGGTGCTGGACGGCTGCATTCCTCGCTCGACATGGCCTTCCGCACGAGGACTCCTGCGCCTTCTGCGACCAAGAGGAGGAGACCATGCAACGTCTCTTGGCGGGCTATACTTTCCCACGGCAAATCTGGCACGAGATCCTAAGCTGGGTTCGTTCCACAGCCGACATTCCGAGAAGTGACACTGACTTCTATGCATGGTGGGAGACGTCCTGCAACCGCTCACCTTCCTCGGCGCGCAAGGGCTTGGCCTCCTTGATCATTCTCACCGCTTGGTGGCTTTGGAAGCATCGGAACGCTTGCATATTTGATGGCGAGCAGCCCTCCATCTCCCGGCTTTCCGGCATCATTAGAGACGAGGCACACATGTGGGCTAAGGCTGGCGCCACATGCGTAATTGGTTATGGGCAAGTAAACAAGTAAATATTGTGTCTATAGTTTAATTTCGTGCATAATTTTCACACCCCACCTAGTCCACGGTACCCTTTGCAGGTTTTCTTGAGAGAGAAAAAAAATCTAAAGCACCATGTGAAAAACATAGTCGTATTTCATAGTGAAGCATAGTTGTGCTTGTCGAAAAGTAAAAAAGCACGGTCACCTTTCACGCTACACTTCTCAAAAAGTGAAAAGCAAAATCACAATTGTGCTTCTCAAAAAAGTGGAAAGCGTTGTTGTGATTCAGTGAAGCATAGTTGTGCTTGTCGAAAAGTAAAAAAGCACGGTCGCCTTTCACGCTACACTTCTCAAAAAGTGAAAAGCAAAATCACAATTGTGCTTCTCAAAAAAGTGGAAAGCGTTGTTGTGATTCAGTGAAGCATAGTTGTGCTACTGGAAAAATGAAAAACACAGCTATGTGTCATGGCGAAGTGAAAAGCACAGTTGTGCTTCCGCATGAAGCACAACACCGGAAAGTAAACAGGTACAAACTATCCTTCCACTTTTTTTGGTTTTCTTATTAGTTTTCTCGTCTTCTGGTTTTTCGGAATAAAAATTGCCCAAACCTATTAAAATGAGGATCTACTTTCGAAGACCTCGATGCGAAAAACGCAACGGAGAAAATTATTCGTGATTTGTCACCACCAGAGGAGGTGAGAGAGTGACCATTGTAAGATAAACCCCTTATCTAGTGATTTCCTAATTTTTATTATCTAAATTTCCATGTGTAATAACTGTTCTCAAAGTTGTTAGAATTAATGGGCTTGATCCATGTGTATTTTCCAAAAATCCAAAGTAAATCCTAAAAGCCCAGGGCACTAGTAGAAAAAGGATCTAATGTGAGACACATTAGTGTGGGTTTGAAGTTGGCCCGGCACTAAAGGCACCATATGCATTAGTGCCGGTTCGTGTTGAGCCTTTAGTACCGGTTCGTGCCACGAACCGGTACTAAAGGGGTAGTGGCAGGCTGGCGTCAGGCCGGGTCCCCACGAGCCCTTTAGTGTGGGTTTGTGACACAAGCCGGTACTAAAGGTCTAACCTAT